GTGCCAGAGCTGGCTTTGGCAGCTATTGCTATTGTTTAGACTGTAGCCCACCTGGCTCCTCTGCCCATGGGATTTCTCAGGCAAGAACACTGGAGTGGGATGCCATTTCCTTCTCCAGGGGATCTTTCTGACCCAGGGATCAAACCCAGGTCTCCCGCATTGCAGGCAGACTCCCTACCATCTGAGCCATGATGGAAGCCCCAGAGGATAGTCAAAGGGGCAAAGGGGGCCAGATGACAGCTGGCTGAGAACACGATGGATGCCCACCCGAAGGCTGGGAGCAGGCAATCTGGGATCCCTCACTGATCCTGGGCGGATGCACAACACCCCCAGCCTGGCATCCATCCAGGGGCCTGTCAGCTCTCCATTAACTTATAGCCTGGCCTCAGCGGACCTCCTGAAAGTCCGGATTAAACACTCTCTAAAGCCTCTTGCTGCTGCGAGTTTCTGAGACTGACAAATACCTGCGCATGGCTGTCTGCCCCTTTCTAGGACTTCCATTGAAATCCACGCTCTAGGACCAGCAGAGCCCAGCCCCAGAGGTTCGTCCGAGGTTGCTCTGACCCAGAGGGCTCATCACAGAGGGTGTGGACGCGGGGAGACGCGAGGTAACCAACGTGCCTACAGTCTGAATCACAGCTCCTCAGCCACACAGCCTGGCCTCAGCTTCCTCTACAAAAAAAGTGACAACAATCCCCGTGCACCTCTCTACAGCCCTCTGCACCCTCACTCCTGCCGAGGGGTGATTTGAGAAGTAAATGAGATACGGCTCACAGCACAAGGGAGGTGCGTAGGCTGACAGCAGGAAGAACAACCACGGTTAGTGGCATCACGACTAATGAGGAGAGAAGGTCAGTTTCCTGCAAGAGGAGAGGACCGTTTGTCTGGAAGGAGTCGGGCAGCAGTGCAGACAGCCAAGTCTCTCCAGTCTCCAAGGACAGCTTCCAAGGGATGCTAGTGGGCTGGCAGGTGGCCAGGCCTTCCATTTAGTACAAGCTGGAGAGTGGCCTGTTGTCTCTCGAGCCCAGCGGTACTTACTAGCCAGTTCTCCCCTTGGATCCCGCAGGACTCCCTAAAGGAGATACGAGCTTCTTTCTCTGGGGGGTAGATGGGCGGATGGGGCCAAGGGAGCCTCATTTGCCTCTTGACCTTGGGCCCATGGAAAGGGCAGTGATGACAGAGTGGGAGCCCGCAGAGCGATCGTCTGCCCCAGGGCCTATGAATCCCCTGGGGACACGCCCGGCTCCAGGGTCCTCTGGCCTGGCCGTTCCTCCAAAGCTCCAGGGCCCGCAACTCCTGCCCTCCTAAAGCAAGTGTTGCTGTGCGCAGTGAAATGGAAACACACACAGGTGTGGGATGTGGGATGCTCACAGTTTGCAGAGGGGAAATGGAGGGGCACGGGGAGGGGCAAATACAGAGAACATTACAGAAAAGGTGGGATGTCTTCTCCGAGGACTAGCCACTAAAGAGGCAAGTTCCTCCTTCCTCAGCATGGGCCTGTCAAGCCAGGGTGGGCTCAGGGGCCAACCTCGCCCAGGAGAAGCCAGAACGGGAGCCCCAGGCTGGGGTCCAAGGGAGGAGCATCCGTCCCCCTTGCTCAGGAGAGTCTTGGCACTCAGCGGAAGGCCTGAGCCCGAGGTTGGGGCCCAGCCTGCAGCGCCGACTGTCCCAGGACTGTCCTTATTGATTTTGGTTGTGTGAGCCCCTCCTCGTGTGGGCCCTCCTGTGGGGCTGAGTCAGGGCCCTTCTGCTTGTGTCCTGAGAACGCTGGTCTCTGGGCGCTTCTCTGGCCAAGGAAAGAGACTTAAGTTCCACTTAAAGAGGTGGGCAGGCAACAGGGACCCCTTCCCCAAGGAGGCTGAGCAGGGATGGTCAGACACTTCCACTTGCAGAGGTCAGAGCAAGCCGGGCCACGCCATGATGTGGGACCTCAGGAAATGACCTCCAGAGACTCAGGGCCTGGTTTAAAGGTGCCCGGAGACGCCACACAGGCACTAAAGGCAGCACGGCGTTCCAGAAAGAGCCTGGCTTTCGGACCAGATAGTTCAGGTTCATCCTGATCATCACTTTGCTGCTGTGGCCTCAGGCAAGTTATTCTACTCCTCTGAGCTTCTGGTCCCTTATCTGCGCATCAGAGCAACGATGCTCTAGAGTAATGCCCGCATGCTCAGTCACTTCTGTCGCGTCTGACTCTTTGCAACCCCGGGCACTGTAGCCCGCCAGGCTCCTCTGTCCATGGGATTCTTCAGGCAAGAATACTGGAGTGAGATGCCATGCCCTCTTGCAGGGAATCTTTCTGACCGAGGAATTGAACCCGCCATCTCTTAGGTCTCCTGCATTAGCAAGTGGGTTCTTTACCACTAGCGCCACCAAGGGCAATGGTGAAGATTAAATCTGTGCCTGTTAACAGGGCACAAGGCTTGGACAGACTCAAGCAATATGGCCTTTACTTAACATCCAAGACAGATCCCCTTCTGTGGCCAGAGGGAGAAGACAGCACACTCTGGCTGGAAAAATTAACAGGCACGTCAATCAACGATGTTATCTGAGTGAAGCTGGAAAAAAATAAACAAAACCACAGCAGATGGAGACGGGCTGACCCTGGACAAGACACCGCAATCCATATGGATGCAAAGTTTGGACAAGAAGGTCCCTGAAACTCCTGATCATCTCTGGCCCTGACATTAAGAAAATGGAGAGACTTGAAAGTTGAATTTAACTAACATTCACGTCAGGGGAAAGAAAACCTTCATAGGGGAGACTCCTGTGCCCAGAAACACCTAGTGAACCTGGGCGCCCCCAGGGCTGCCCTGGGAGGTTGGAGGTCTCCTTAGAGCTAAAAGTCAACACTTCCTCTCTTCCCCTCTCAACCCCATGTTACCAAACATAGAACCTTCTCTCCCAGGGCCACCCCCATAGGCCATTTGAGAACAGGGACCTGCTACCTGCCTTGGACAGGCCTGCAGGCTTCCAGGGGCTGTGAGGTCAGAAGGCAAAGAATGGGGGTGTTTTGACGGGAGTGAGCCCCATGAAGACAGCTTGCCTCACCACCCTGGCTCTGCACCTCACTCTTGGGTTTGCTCATGAACACACGTGTCTGCTCACGGGGCAGGGCCCCAGGCCTTGACAGAGAGGGGGCTACTGGAGAAGCAACTGAGATGCTGCGCTCGAAACGGCCACCACTCAGCCCCGCCTCCGAGCTGGTCCTCCCTGCAGACAGCCAGGCCCGCTCCGCTCAGCGGTTCCAGAAAGAGTCCAGGGAGGCGGTGCCACATCCCTTCTCCCGATCCCCAAAGGCCACACTAACGCCCAGCGCTCATGACCGCCACTTGAGCTGAAGGTCAGGTGAAGGTCAAAGCCGTCTGGAGGTCAGGCTGCTAACCCCATTAACGCAGCAGCTCGGGGCCAACCTCCCAGACACAAGTGGCCACCTCCAGACATTTAAGATGTCCCTTCGCCTGTCATCAAGAGCATTCCTTTTCTCCTGAGACCACAGCGACAAATTCAATTTTTACAATTGTCCCCAAATACACACAAGGGCTTCTTTACCAGTCTTTGAAGTGTCTCAGCCACTGAGAGGGAGTTTATGCCATCTATTTCCTTTTGTCCAACTGCAGGGAGGAAGCAAGGAAAAAGCCACTCTGGACTTGTGGGCAAACCAGCCTGTGTCCTAGCTCCCCCTACTCTTGGGGGGACAGGGAGGGCTGTCTTGGGGAGGCGGGTGCTTTGCCATAAACTTTCCTAAGGACGGAAGAAAAGCGAGTCCTTTGCTGTGTGAATCTCCCCCAGCATGTGGGTGCACTCAAAGGCCAACAGGCCTGTGGTCTTAATGAGAGGGCTCCCAGGCTAGCCAGGATTCCCCAGCCACTGATTTTTAAGCATATCAGGAAACTGACTCAGGCAGACCACAATTACACCTGTAGAAGTGCACAGTAGCCTAGCGGAGTCTAAAGCGTGGGTATCTTAACGCCCTGCCCACCCTGCACACAGCTTCAGAACCATCTGGATACTCCCTGCCCACCCAGGGCAGCTGAGAAGGCAGGAATGTGCTCAAGAAAGGGCTGAGGTGGGGCAGAGACAGCCTTGAATCACAGTCAGGAAATGTCCCTCCTGCCCTGACCCCTGCCGTCCCATACTTTGCGACCACAGGCAAGTCACGCCCCTCTCTCTCCCACCCACCAATTCACGAGATGCACAGACCTCATCTCGAGAGTTCCTTGACTTCTCAGAGAAGAAAGAGCCTCTTGAGCAGGTAGCCAGGAGAGTTCTCCGCCTGGCAGGTCTTATTTTTAAAGGCACCTTCTCTTCTCTTTACAAAGACGAGAAAGTCCATCCGGCAGATAAAAATCACCACCACTACCACCCCTGAGACCCACGTCACCAGGAACTCCCCCATCCTTGGGTTCCATAAGGGACCAGGTGTCTGGCATCAAAGACACCATTTCCAGGTCAAAGGAGGAATGTTCTATGACCGTTCCAGGGGCCACCACCAATATTCCAAGGGGCTGAGTGGGAAACCAGATTGGGGTGGAAACACTCGGGTCCTGAAGGCCGCCCTTGCCCCAGCACCCCACACCCCAGGTGTGATATTAATATGTTTGCCTAAAAACAAGACATATAAGTGATGATTTAATGCCAGCAAGGGATCATCCAATCACATCTGTTATTTTAAACCAAACTTGGCTGTTCCCTCCAATCTCACGTTTGTGAAATGCAGTTTCAAGAATTTTCCAAACTGTTGCTCAAAGATTTTGCCTTGTCATGCCTCCAGGGGCCGGATGCCCAAGCTTCCACACTTTCTGGATCTGCAGAACCACAGCAGGGAGGGGTCTGAAATCGGGGCTGCTTGGGGGAAATTCCGGATGCATGGTCGCTCCGCTTGAGAGGCTGCGCTCCCGGTCAGAACTCCTGGTTCTAGAACATGGGTGCGGTCACAGGCCAGCGGGGACAGCGCCATCAGTGAGTCCAGCGCAGGTGGGCCAGCCTGGAGCTCCCGAGGCTCAGAAGGTGAAGGCATACACCACTCCCACCACCACGATGTTCCCCAGTGTCGCTATGATGGCGATCCAGAGCAGGACCGCGTCGTTGGAGGACCTGGGCGGCTCCTCCGGCTGACCTTGGCCGTTGGAGGCCACGTGCACGTTGGGCGAGGAGTTAAAGAGGGAGTACTCGGTGCTGAAGTCCTCGTTGGGCGAGTCCATGAAGGCGCCTCCCATCATGGGGAGCTGGGAAGAAGGAGAGAGAGAGAATTAACCAGGGCTGGGGCTGGAGGGCCGCCCGCAGACGGGAGGCTGCCTGCTGGGGCAGCCCCGCGTGAAGATACAGCAGGAAACCGGGCTTCCCGTCTGGCCTTTTAAATAAATGACAGCGCTTACTTTCATCTAGAAAAACGAGCGCTCACAGCAACCTTTTGAGGCAGAAGTTCATGGCAACCTTGCAGGTGAAAATATTAAGGCCCCCAGCTGTTCGGCAGACAATCCCGTGGGTAGTTGGCAATTCACTGGGACGTATAGACCTTCCCTTTCTAAACACCAGGCCCGCCCTGACAGCACACATCCTCACCTGTCTTTATTCTTCTCCTAACTAAGTAACATGAGCTCAGCACAGAACATTAAGAAAATACAAACGCAGAGAAAAAAAGAGAATCGCAATCTCACCACTTTGGGATACTCACTGTTAATATTGTGAAATCTTCCTTTTCAATCTTGTGTGTGTGTATGAAAGAGAGAAAACCTTTAAACATGTCACTTTATACTCCTGTATTAAAAAGCCTATCAAAATGCCATTTTACAGTTATATAATATTCTATCCTAAATACAAGCCATAATTTAATCATTTCCCCAGAACTGGAGATTTAGGAGCTTGGATGTTTTCCTATTATAAATATGACAAGCCTAGACAGCGTGTTAAAAATCAAAGATATCGCTTTGCCGACAAAGGTCGGGATAGTCAAGGCTATGATCTTTCCAGTAGTCATGTAAAGATGTGAGAATTGGACAGTAAGGAAGGCAGAGCGCCAAAGAATTGATGCTTTTAAACTGTGGTGTTGGAGAAGACTCTTGAGAGTACCTTGGACAGCAAGGAGATCCAACCAGTCAATCTTAAAGGAAATCAACCCTGAATACTGGAAGGACTGACGCTGAAGCTGAAGCTCCAAAACTTTGGCCACCTGATGTGAACAGCTGATCATTGGAAAAGATCCAGATCCTGGGAAGGACTGAAGGCAGGAGAAGAAGAGGGTGACAGAGGGTGAGATGGTTGGATGGCATCACTGATTCAATGGACATGAACTTGGGCAAACTCCGGGAAGTGGTGACGGACAGGGAGGCCTGGCGTGCTGCAGTCCATGGGGTCACGAAGAGTTGGACATGACTTGGCGACTGAACAACAACAAACATCCTTGTGCATACACTTGTGCATCCATACATGCTTGCACGTGCATATTTATTTTTTGGAGCAGACCCAGATACAGAATTTCCAAGTCAATGGGGGGGGGGTATGGCTGTTTCAGAGCTTCTAGTGCTCAGGGACAAAATTCTCAGAAGAGTGACTAATCCCCCGGCCCCGCTTTACTGCCCAGGAAGAGGCCGCACGTTTGCACTCCAGGGACCAGAGCTTCTCCTTCCATTTGTAAGGCTTTTGCTCCTGAGACTCGGTGAAGGGGGGCAGGGGGAGGTGTTGGGGAGGTGGGTTGCTCAAAGGGAGGGCTTGGCCCTGGATACAGTCCAGATCAACGTCCAGACCCTTCCAGACACATTTACCGGCTGATGTGCCTTAAGTGCCAGAGCTGGCTTTGGCAGCTATTGCTATTGTTTAGACTGTAGCCCACCTGGCTCCTCTGCCCATGGGATTTCTCAGGCAAGAACACTGGAGTGAGATGCCATTTCCTTCTCCAGGGGATCTTCCCGACCCAGGGATCAAACCCGAGTCTCCTGCATTGGCAGGTGTGTTCTATACCATTGAGCCACCAGGGAAATCCCTTGGCAACTTTTAGGCCCATAATAAACTTTTTTAATGGCACGTGAATGAATGAGCACTAGACAGTTAAGCCTTCCTTGGATAACATTTACTGAGCTACTGCTACTACTGCCCGTACAGAGACCCAGCTATGGTCAGGGAATGTGCTGGAGATCTTAAAACACTCTCATTTAATCATTCAGTTCTCCAGCTGCAGGGTACCATGGTATCCCCATTTCACAGATGGGTAAGTAAAGGTCAAGACCACTGCACTCATCTGTGCCAGGGTCAAGTCTGAGAGCAGTATGTCTGACTGTGGGGCCAGGGTGCTTCCTGTTATGTCCACAGCCTTCCCGATTCCTGGATCAGACTCAGTACTGGGTCCCGGCACAGTCACTGCCCCCTGGGACCACGCTCCAGCGGGGATCTGTGTACCGCCCGGGGGGAAACAGGAGCAGAGTGGAGACTGCCTCACTCAGCCGCTCATCTGACTTGTACTAGGGACTATTAATTAGGGGCCACAGTTCTAGACTCTGCAGCGGTGAGCCAGACTGGGAGGGCCCTGCTTCTGGGGGTCCACGCTCCAGCTGGGGATGAGAGCAGGAAAGGAGAAGGAGCAAAAAAAAAGAGGGGCAGGAGGGAGGGATGGAATAAAAAAGAAAGAACGTCTGCAGGGAACCTGAACCATTAGCGAATTCACACAGAGAGGCCACTTGCAGGCGGTTCTGTGTGCGGCCTGCTCTGAATCTCAGTGCCTCTTTTTAAAGGATGCCCCATGCCTGGGGCAACGGGTGCTTTTCAGCATCTGCGTGGAAGGCAAACAGCAGTCTCTGACCGGTTCGTGCCCAGAGGAGCTCAGCATTCCATCCACAGCACAGCTCGGTCCTTTTTAGGTGGGACCAGACCCTGTCAACGGGGGAGCTGTAGTGACAAACAGAGGCCACCAGGGGGCGACGAGGACGGGCCTCCTGCTGATGCTTGACGGGGGTGCAGGTCACAGGGGTGGGTTCACTTTGTGAGAATTTATATACGGGTCCTCCTTTCTTAGACCTGGCAGCTCTATTTCTAGAACGTTATCCTAGGGAAACAATTATACCAGAGATACACAAAGATCTTGTCTAAATATTACACAAAATGTTCAGTGGAGGGAATTAAGTAAAGTCTGGTGTATCTATCCAGCAGATTACACAGTCTTAATGATACAGACCTATAAGCAGGTCAAGTAAAATACAGATACCACAATAACATCATAAATGGTATTAACAGTATGATATTTTTGTAAAAATATTTATACGTGTGTGTGTGTGTTAGTTGCTCAGTCATGTCCCACTCTTTGCAACACCATAGACTGTAGCCCACCAGGCTCCTCTGTCCATGGGGATTCTCTAGGCAAGAATACTGGAGTGGGTTGCCATTCCCTTCTCCAGGGGATCTTCCCAAGCCAGGGATCGAACCCAGGTCTCCCGCATAGCAGGTGGATTCTCTATTGTATGAGACGCCAGGGAAGCCCTATACGTGTACATGTGCATCAGAAAAATCTGGAAAGACACTAGATGTGAACTGGTTAACTGAACAGTGGGATTAACTGACATGATCTCTTTACTTATACGTATATTTCTTTCTGGGCTTCCCTGGTGACTTGGTGTTGTAGAACCCTCCTGCCAATGCAGGAGATGTGGGTTCAATCCCTGGGTCGGGAAGATCCCCTGAAGAAGGGAATGAAAACTCACTCCAGTATTCTTGTCTGGGAAATTCCATGGACAGAGGAGCCTGGTGGGCTACAGTCCATAGGGTTGCAAAGAGCCAGACACGACATAGCGATTAAACAATAACCTCCTTACATGTGTCTAACAGTGTATTAAATTAACATACTTAGTATATTTTAATAGATAAGATGACAAACACAAATGAGAATAATAATCAACATATCTTCTATTAAAAATACAATCAGAAGTTTAAATAAAAGAGCTGTGACCTTGTTTTGCCCCTCAACTGGTGATATAGATGAGACGGGTTACGGATGAATCACGCACATCTATCCTAGGGGGTCAGCAGAGGCAGTGATGGACTGTCCTGCAGGGAGGGGCCCAGGCTTTCCCATGAAACCTACTAGCCCTTTGGATCTCAGTCAAAAGGTCCCGTCCACTATAGCTTTCCATCCTGTGTACTCCCAAGACCACAACCACTCCTTGGGGCTCCTGTCCCAAGATACAGTTCTTATCTGCATCCCCCAAAGGTCTGGAAGCTTCGAGGGGAGAGCAGACAAGTTACTTCTCATCGAGGAATTCCCAGAGCCTTGCTCAGGTCGTAGGCACAGTGGTGCCTGATAAATCCTGCTGATTGACGGATGAGTGACAACCACCCTCACCCTGGACCCACAATGTTGCTGGCCCCCTCCAGCATCTGCCCACTGATCCCACCCCTGCCTGGGGGAGTATCCTCGCCTCCAGCAGCCCTGACACGCACCACCCTTCTCTAGGGCTTTCATCTGACCCGCCCACAGCGAAGAATCACTCAGGTGAGGCCGCAGACACTCTTAGCTGGTGGCCTCTTACAGGTGGGGCTCAGGCCAGGCCAGAAGCTGGATTTCTCCCTCCCGAGCAAGCCTGGACTCCGAGGTTGGTTCACCCCCTTCCCTGACACCTCTGCTGCACGCCCCTCCCCGGGATTAGTCACACACCCATTGTCCTCTGCCCAGCGACCATCTCAGCCTCTCCTTCCCCCCACCCCCCAGGGCCCTGGGTTTTTAGACCACTCCCCGCCCCCTGACTCCACTTCTGTCGAGATCTCTGGATGTTAGCCTGCTCCCCCGCCTCCCCTCTTCAGGGCATACAGAGGTACAGTGGGTGTTTTCATCCAAATCACTGGGGGAAAAGGTGGGGCACTGGGCAGAGCCTTTGGCAGGGGGAGGAGAGAGCCGCCCCCCCCAGGCTGACACAGCCCTGCCGCCTGCTTGCAAAGGGGCTGCTAACTTCCTCCCCCAGAGGCCTCCGCTGTGCCCCCGTCCAGCTCTGCGGGTGGTTAATGTCATTTCCGTTTCCTATTGCCACAAACTGGGAGGCTTAAGACGACACACATTTGACTTCCCTGGTGCTCTAGTGGTTGAGACTCCACGCTCCCCCTGCAGGGGTCGTGGGTTCAATCCCTGCCCCCACCCCCCACCCCAGTGTGGCACAGATAAAAAATTAAAATGAGACACATTTATTATCTTACAGTTCTGGGGGTCAGAAGCCTGACTGCACTCATTATACTGGGCTCCCTCAGGCCA